AAAAGCATCATCACGTCTGGCTGTTTAAGCGGCATGTCATAGATAAAGAAGAACAAGGCTATACTGTAGACAAAATACGAAAGCCGATGCTGTCCGCCTTCGAATCGTCACCCGCTTAGCACAATTTTGACTAGTGCACAAGTTACACGGATGCATGGTAGACTATATCAGCTCCCAGGTGGCCCCCGTTTTGTCGACTGACACTATGCATCCGTGATAGCGATGAAGCTGATCGAAAGAACGGCCGAGAGCTTTCGCGGTGTTTCACTCGCTCCGCCAATCCCGCGTCTACTCTGACCTTCGAAAGATTGACCCAGATCCCCTCGTCACCTCCATGTCTCTAAGGCATACTGTTAGGCCTGACGCCGACGACGTAGCCACTGGGGAAAACTTGCTCTCCGGGCGAAACGGCGACCTCGGATCGTTTCTGACGCTGCTAGCCACAAAGCTGTTCGCTTCTTCCAGCCTGAGTTGGAACGCAGCGGTGCTGTGCAGGTTTCGTGGTTGTGCTGCTGAGGAAAAATGGTTTGTCGCACCAGGGGAGAACAAAAGGTCCTCGTAAACGTCAGCCATTGTTCGCCCGAAGTGGAAAGCAAGTGGCTCTTGCGGAAATAATGGTGTCATTTTTGATGTTGCAAGCTCACGATGGCGAAGGGGTCAATATCTCACGACATAAGGGTCGTATATAACAGCATGCCAAAATGAGCCACATCTGGCAGCGCTCTCATCGCCTTCAAATTTTCGAGACAAACGGAAACGTGCTTTTGTGCACCACGAATACAGTCGTAGGTTCAGAGCCATTTTCGGCTTTGGGAAATGAAATACCATATATAACAGGTGAGTTGAAGGGTTACTTTCCAGCCTCACTTGTGTGTTGAACCAAATCGGATTCCGTTGCAATGGAGATCTGGGCGGTTGCCAATGTGTACACTGCTGCTGCTCCAAGAGTCAGTACCTCCCAGCCGCCGCCAGAAACAGTAGCTGAGCTTCCTCGAATATGCACGTGGGCCACCGAGGGCGATACGTCCACCACGACGGCAGCACATACAACCGCACTACCCAACACCTTGGTATCAAGCCATCGGTTCTGGAATGCTAGTTTCGACCACGAAACATCAAACGCTAGCGCAATTACCAGTTTTACGACGATGACGACGTCGACGACGACGACATCTGGTGGCAACGTTGAACCCTCTTGGATATACCACAAACCAACAGTGCACACCACCGCGACTATCCCCGTCAGCGCAACCGCTTCGCATGGCGCTAGCTGTAGTCACTTTGCAATCTTTGTTGCTTTCTTTCTGAGCATCTCGCTTTGGGACCGTCTTCATTAGACCAACCTTGCTCCTCCTGGTGGCCGGGACACGACGATCGGGCGATGCGGGACGGCACGGATGAGACCTGGTTTACGTCCACTGCTGGATTTTCTATTTAGAGAAAGTGGTCGACGTTGTTTAATGGAGCACGTATCATGATTTTGCCCCAACAAAGGACTTGGAACTCTGGCTTTGAGGGCCCAACAGGATATCTGTGTCATATCTGTTTTGTATGGAATTTGTGTCAGAAAAAGATGACGCTTTCAAGATTCGACTTTCCAAAGCCTCACTTGCTTCTTTATTGGCTTCTGGTAGCCACCCAGTTCGGCCTTTTCAGTGATGGAAAGATACCACAACCGTAACACAACAAGTCATACGTGAATAGGAGACAATGCACCACGCCAACCAAACATACAGACGAACCGACCAGATAACACATGTCAAAGGTAGTTCACAAAGCGGTCCCCAGAGACGTTACCTGCCTATTTGCACGTGTGATGAAGAACTGAATGATTGATGATTACAATTTCCTAGAAAGAATCGCTACCGACATTTTGATCGAAAGTTCCCTCACTCTAGCAACTTAATTTACCTGCGGATGGTCCACTGATATCGGTATTGACGTTCTCTTTATTTCTGTGCTTTTGCACTTTTGCCTGTCTTATACTGCATGGTGTTAGACCAGACAAGTTGTAAGGCTTTTGACAGGACTAACCTTGTCTTCTGTTATCTAGGCTTTGGACGGGGTGGCGGCTTTGGAACGCCAGTGGTATCATATGCTCCGCGTCCTTCGTCTTTGTTCTCGATATCAATGCCGGCGATAGACATATTTCTTACTGGGTGATGCTCCGTTCCGCTGTTGGTGTTGATGATCGTTCTGCGAGGCCTCACGTCGATCGGTTCGTGGGCTTCATATATGTGTTCCTTTTCACTAGTTATTCCACGCACACATAATAAGTTACAAGGGTACCTATGTGGAATCGACTGAATCCCTGTGACAAGAGTTGACAATCCCACTCCTGGTTCGTCAATCTTTTAGTCAATGGCATTTACCCCCGAGTGTTGTCACCCCTCAAGCTCCTTCCGGACCATTCACCCCATACATTAGATGGACCAGCTTGCACAGCGTTTCGACTGGCAAGTGTGATCTTCTGGAATAGGTTCAAGTGGTCTTCCTGTACTTCGGAGCGCTGAAGAGGTCGTTTCCACAGCCACCATGTATGTCAAAGGCGTGATGATTTATTGGCGTCACAGTTGTCCAGCTTGCCACTTCAACTTGCTGGGTTTTCTCCCGACGAATCAACTTTGCCTCAGGTGTGGGTTGGCGAAAGCGGTTGACAGGTTTCTGGCCATGTAGCAAGGACTGGACTAGGTTGAAATTGAGAGCAATCTTGGATCCCCACGACCGGCGGGCGCTGTTCTTAGTGACTTGGTTCTCAGGCAAAGCTCGTGCAACGAGCGCTGTGAACCAAGTCGCAAATCAGTACACTATCCATCTGCCCTCGTAAGGAACATTGGTGGAACCGGGTCTGGAACACACTGAGAGTGAATGTACGTTGCTGGCGCTGCACTATGGTATCGCGGGGGCAACAGGGGAACTTTCCCATGCTTTATGCCTCCATTATTCATGCTATGCAACAATGCGCGCCTAGGAAACGGAGCGGGCGAACGACGTCGGCCAAAGCCGAGTAACGTCTTCGCTACTATCTTTATTCTCGTCGTTACTATTGTGTCATGGAAACTTGTTCACGTCGGTCTCCAGTCTCTAATAGAGAGAGGCAGGACGTCGAGGTCGCTAACGCCAGACCTGTAAACAGTCGCGCCCTAGATTATGTGAGGCCTGAAGCTCAGTTCTTACTCAGGGGATATGACGAGCATCGGATGTACCTTAGATACAGGGCTGGTGCGCCTAACTGATGTTCCCTCTCTCCTTGAGCTGTCTCTTATCATTCTTTGGCATGAGTCAACAGCCGAGAGCCACGTGCTAGCGTGGTCTTATTGTGCCCTCCGAAATGCAAACCGTTTCAAGTATTCCGATAAGCCATCGTCTCCTACGCCGAGAGTCGTGCAGCTCTATCATGACAGAGTCTCCGATGGGCCTGTGTCGTTTCGGAGTTGTACTTCTCCATGTGCCTCGTGGACGAGCTTCCTCACCATCCCTTCGGCAATATCGAGCTCGAACTTGTGAATCCCTATTCGTTATTGATCAGGCTAATTGGGCTCATCAGAGGGGTGACATAAGCGGGTTGATATAACGATGGAAATTTGGAAATGGTCGTTTGCAGGCGAATGGGAACTGCTTGCAATTCAGTCATCATCCGTAAGACCACTCGAAGCCTGTCCCATGGGCCAACACATCCGGAAGAATGCGATGGGGTCGCGTTCATCGCGTCGCCTTGCGTAAGCAGAAATGGTTCAGTGACAACCCGAGTAATGAGGCCAATCGAGTGGCCAGCCTCAACATGCAATAGGCCGGAGCAATTGTGGCCGAGACATCTCTACCAGCTTTTGGCATCCGCGCTTCGGTGCTGCATACCGTATCTTCGCTCCCGATGATCTGCTACAATGTAATTGAGTCCAATACCGGATTCTAGTTGTTGACTTAGAAATTTCTCCACCACAGCCACTTGTGGCTGTTCTTGCTGAAAAGGTACGCGAAATTCAGCATGCAAGACAAACGGCTGCGGTGAAGTGATTTCCAGAAGGCAGGAATCGGAAACCGAGTGAGAAGCCGCTTTCAGCCGTTTGGCTTGCGGTTGGCAGAGCAAAAATCGGCTCAACATCAACGAAGCGCTGCGACGTACGAGCTGCAAGGGAAACAAACCGGTGATGAGAGCTCAAACCGGCTCGCATCACGCCGTACCACAGGGCTCGTAATGGCTTTCGCCCGAGAGAAGTCATATTTGAGGGCGATGTAGTCACATCACGGCATGTAGTCTCGGCCGACACTGTGATGGATTAGATCACATTCGTATGTACAGTAGCTAGATTCTGTCAGAAATTCTCAAAGTCGCGAAGCCATGGCCCCTGTGGCGTCGGACGAGATCGTCTTCACATACGACAAAAAGGCGAAAGAGAAGGTCCGAAAATGCGGGGGAAGCGCGAAACGCAAAGCCGTGCAGCTGGGCCTGGGGGCCCAGGTTTTTTCGGCCGTCGTCCATTTCAATCCAACCTATGGAAAATTAGACGGGGCTGTCTACGTCCCGCAAGGCCAAAGTATTCCTGACGTGAACCGGTTTGTAAGTCTTGGCAACAGAGAAGTCTTTTGGGGTTCGGACGGTTTGAACTGACGTAAGTCTGGACCAGCTAGCGGAACTCGCCAACGGCATGCAAGGAATTGGAGGCCAACGTCGGGTCACACGCCGTCGACGGGGCGAGACCACCCCCAAGCCCAGTCAAACTACGGTGGAGGCAGGCGACAACAAAGTGGGGCAGCTTACAGACAGTGCAACAGAAGAGAGCGTTGCCAGCGCAGCCGAAGCCGCAGAAGCGAATGAAGTCGTGACTGAAGACTCGGATGCTCCTCATGAGATCGAGGCCAATGACAATGGTGTCGCTGATATTTGCGGCATCGCGTCGGACACCCAACAAGGCGACGCCCGTTTGGAAGAAGATCACACGAACCCAGCACAACATGAGATACCCACAGAAACAGCGCCGTTCAGCGAAAACCGCGACGACATGACGGAGGACATCGCCGTGGTCGACACCGACACGGCGGCTCAGACTAACGCGGGCAAGGAGGACTCCTTCATCGGGTTCCTTGAGGTTGGCATGCATGATCTGTTTGAGATGGAAGCCGAGACGACCAGTCGCTTTGATCCCTCTGGACCAGTCGACGACAGCCGGCAGGAAGAACAGCCAAACACCACCATGCCTGATTGGGAAAGTGGGGAGGTGGAGAAGACGAGAGGCGACGCGGTGATGGAAAATACAGCGGAAAGCAACGAGGAAGCCCCTGGCCGAGAGACGAAAACCCAGAAGACGCCAACTGCTGCTGTTGCGCCCGTTTTTCGGATTGCAAAGAACACAAAAAAGATTCACCGCTTCTTTTGGCAAGTGTCCAAGCAGATTCGACTTGCAAGACGGCAGGGAGAGTTTGAGATCGGGCATGTCCGCCAAATCCGGCTAGGTGTCAAAGCAGTCAGGGAAGTCCGAGCAACGGTTCAGAGTCGAGGAAACCGAAATGCGAGGCCGGCTTGTGGTGGCAGAAACCCACCGCGACTATGAGTTGGTAGGAAAACAAGTAGCCACCAAGCAAAGAGGAGCAGTCCATATATACAGCAACCAACCGCCTTCACTGGTCCAACGTTGACTTGGTGTCAGAGCGAGAGGATGTTGACATTCTCAACTGACTTAATTGAGCAACGACTACAAGGGGCGACGAGGGTGACAGCGGCAAGCGACAGAGAATGTTTCAAATCTTCCAGCAAGTACGTACACCTGCGACCGTGGCTTACCAGACATGGTCGCCAGTGTTAATTACCGCCGCGTCAAATGCGGACTTCGTAATTACCTTGGGGGTCAGCGCTTGAGACACCCGCGACAGCATGCCCATGCGTGCCGCGTGCCGCGGCCAGCGAACATGGCCGCCACGGAGGCTCTCCCGAGGGCCAGGACGGGGCTCATAACTTCGCCCGAGTCCGTTGACAAAGGACCGGACATTCAACACATGGGAAGTTGATACCGCTGCGGCGACCTGGGGGCGCCGCTAATTATGGATCATCGCCACACATCTTCGCCGTTCATGCCACGGTGAGGCCAGGGTGGTGGACCATGGTCAGCTGAAGTGACGGCCTGGAGGGCGTGGTCGATGGACGTGATGTTGTTTAACCCATCCTGTTGGCTGTGAGAGCGCCGCTAGGTGTTCTGTATACTGAGCGTTTTCCGACACCACGTGCGAAACTCATTGCTCCCATGCGTTGGCCAGTGCCAAGCCAGCGCGAACCACTGATGCATGATTACAACCTTAATCTCTCGAGTGCTCATTAGGAGGCGATTGGCAGACAGGCTCCGCGGAACCTGACTTCACGGCAGAAGTGGCCATTTGGGCAAGTTTTTGAGATATAACGCGAAGTCACCGGCTACTTCGTGGCCGCCAATCGGAGCGTGAGTGTTACTCCTGGCGAGTGCAACTTGTAAACTTTTAAGGCATCGGTATCCCGAGCTCTAGGCCGGCAACATTGGCAGTGAGCGGTGAGCCTTCCTCGTCTCCGAGTCTTGCATGGCATTCCATAACCCAGTTCGTTGTCTCGGCGAAGATACGATCGGCTCTTTGGCTGTGTTCAAGCTACAGCATCTGCAGTGGCGATTCGCCTGGTTAACATTCATCGCGCATTATTGGGAAATCCTTCGTGGCCGAACCAGGCGCACGCCTGCCGGCCGTTTGTATTGAGAGTACATTCAATTTATGTGGATTGATGTAAACCCATCTGGGAAAACATCGGACAGGAAGCGAGCTGGGCACACGCCGCATGTGCCGGGTGATTCGTTCCCGGACCGCACACATACACACACACACAGACACACAGAAATTTTTGATTACGCCCAGCGACGATGTCGGAAGGGCAATTTAAGCTGATTACAAGTGATGTCTCCTTCTCCTGCTTACTTCGCCTTGTCTGCCTTCTCGTTACGGATTTCCGTGCTTTAGTTGTCGATGTGAGGCAGGCGCTCCCACCTCGTGTAGGCGCAAGTTGGGTTCCTCTAGTCTGTTCTCTGATGTTTCTCTGGAGGTCTGCTCCCTGCTTGCCCCTGGCTTGGAACATCCATTTTTGACCCACATATCCAAATCTTGAGAAAGAGCAGCTACATTTGGCTGTACTTAAAAGCGGCCCCATCTACAGGCCACAGATATTGTCGTACATATCTTGAAGCGGCCAAAGAGCAAGAAATGGACGAGCACCATGATGGTGGATTATCAACAGTACAAAGCAGTAGTTAAATAAGGTTGCGCAATCGGCGCATACGTGTAGTCATGAGGTTCATCATCTTTCCTCAGATGCTCTTTATCTTAGGGTGCACATTCTAAATTTCAAACTAAACCGGCAACCTTCCCAGTAATGACTTCCCCAATAGAGACCAAGAACCACGTCTCATCCCATGGCAAGTGCACCACTATGAATGTTTCCGGTCCGTCGGATTGCTAATTCGACGCAGAGATTGCAGAGAGTGACCGTCTGAAGAGTCTGTACCCAACCGTCATCCTCGCATCTGCCGTTTCTGGCAGTGCTTCCATGATTATGTTGCTTGATAGATCGGCAACAACCGCATCAGTTTTAAACAACATCTCAAACTGCCTCCTCGTCAGCTCAGTCATCACGGCAGTCTTTACAGCAATGATAACGATCATGCTTTCGTTCGAGTTCCAGAGCAGCCACAAGCCCACCCGTATGCGTCGAGCAATGGCATGGGTGCCGATCTTCTTTCTCGACTTTATGTTATTCGAGCTGGTTATTGGCCTAGTTTTTTGGTTTACAGCTGGACATGCCTGGCAGTATGCTGCTCTTCTCGGCCTAGTATCCGGATCACTTTTCATGGTAACGGCAGCTGTAGCTGTGTGGATGACAGTAAAGGCCAGCCCGTTGGGTTGCCTGGGGTAGCGATTGTAGACAGAGTCTGAGGTTTGACTCTGTCAATTTTTCAATCAGGGACCTCAACTACCTATCGAACCACCTGATAAAGGACAGCATGCAGCATTGGCCAGAATTGTATTATGCAGTACTACAGACCCCACTAAGAAGCAGATAAGACCTTCTCGTTGGAATTTTCCGCCAGTGCATTTTGATGCCTAACCGCAGTGGATATAGGAGACCGAAAACGCGAAGTTTGTCGTCGTTGGTGGGCGGCCATTCTGAAGCATCAGAGCGCCGCGCCCTGTGAACTCATCAGAAACTTATAGCACCTGCTCTTTCCACTTGCTTACTACTCCTTCTGCAAGCCCTGCTTTGGTCTGGTTCCTCACAGCATTTTGCTCATAGACAATGTGAACAAAGTATTCTCCCCGAGACAGTGTCGGTGGCGTGGCGGCCAGTGGCTTGCAACTTATCAACTGCCGTGTCGGTGGCGAGGAAAACTACGAAGATCTTCCATCGCAAGATCAAGCAATGCAGTTTTCACGACTTTAGCCTATATGCGGCTTTTCATACCTCTCAGCAGGACGCTTTCAGAATTGGAATTCCTCTCCGTATTGGCGCACCTGCAGAGAAGGAAGCGTTAAGCCGGACGAAGGCCAATTCCTTAAACGCCGATACTAGGGCTATAGCGGTACAAGCAGGAGCGGGTGAAGACATGCAGCACATAAGCAGTAGATATTCCTTTATTAAGACTATGTCAGAGAACAAGAATACTCTACGCAGCTACTTGCAGAAAAGAAATCAAGGTTGGAAGCAACTATCAATATATGAATTAGGATACACGTATCGTCATAGGAGACTTGTGGCAAACGTCCTGTTTTCAAGCGTGCCTTTGCAGAAAGATTCCTGTGCAATAGCAAGTCGCCGCTCTAGATCGCGTAATGTTGCCATGGTCCGAGCTTTCCACTCCTTCAATTCCTCCTCTTCGTCATCCAATATCTTCTGGATATGCCTACTCCGTTCCTCTCTTCGTTTCTTCATCAGTCTCCGATTATGATACTCGCTTGTTAAGAACTTTCTTCTTTTTATACTGCCGTCATGATTCTCCAACCGACTGGTAGGAGCCACAAGGCAACTTTTTCCTTTACCACATCTGTAAGGACACATCTTTGCGAGTTCTGGCCCAAGGGGTTGAAGACATTCGGTGTGAAATACGTGACCTTGGAACCAAGTAAGCCTGCAGAACCTTGGTGTCGAGTAACGGGATTAGACTTACCGCACGAAATGGCTTGTAGAGGCTTGTGTAGGCTATCTTCTTGGCAAATGGTGCAGGCCAACTCGTAGATCTTTCGGACCTGCTGACCTCCATGGCGCGAGTGGTTTTGTTTAGAACAGTACACTTCGACGGTCCCGTTGTATTCTCGGTAGTTGTTGCAGCATGTCGGACAAATGACCTGAGCATGTGTTTAGTCAAGCCTTGATTCCGGGCGTGGGGAACAAACGCATGAACAACCAGAAAGCAAGATATTCTCTTGGAGGGTTGCATAACACCAAGAGCAAAAGTACGAAAGCTCCTCGCCCTCGACCTCGATCTCGACCCCGACCTCGTCCTCGCTTTCGTTGGTAAGGTCAATGACAGTCATCTTCGAATTCGGGTTAATGCTGTGAATGATAGAGAAAGAAGAGAAACGCATGAAGTTGTGTGGCGGGTTTTGGCTTTCTTATAGATCTGGAGATTCACCGCCGCTTTGCACATCATCTATGCCGTTCCATCCCTACCGCTTAGCTCAGTGATTACGCGTATTAGGGACCAAACCGTCTTGGTTTGTACCCCGTTAGTCCTGAGACGCGATCGGACGCATGCTCCAGGCCCTGTCGCCGTTGATGCACGATGAGCAAGCAGATGAGCGCGCTGCTGAACATCGTATCAAACGCCACTCCAAGGCTCTGCCCTGATACAAGGTCTTTCATAGGCTAATAGATGCAAGCATGGTCGCTTACGGCAACATGGTACTGCGTGGACAACTAGCCGTGCCGGGTTGTCATGAAGGCGGCCTCCCCTCAGCTCGGCGCTCATGCTGAGACACTGCTAGAATGACCCCAGTGAAAGCCGGTTCTGGATGATAACGGGATGACTGCATTACCAACTTGGCACTCATCTATACCAACACCGTGAGCCACGCAACACGTTTGGGACACATTATCGGCACTGAGTCATTCTACAACCCCCCGGGCTCTGTTACCATGGCTTCGATACAGATGACTCGCTCTATGACAGTAGGAATCACCATATTCAAAATCGTGTCCCTGGTCGTTCCCTCGTCTCATCTTTCGCAGCCATTCCGTATTCCTTAATTAGGAGAACAGACTGGAGATAATCAGCCCGCTGTGTGGGTTTCCTCTTGCATGCAGCTTTATCATTTTGAAGACCTCAATCCTTGTCAAACTGATGGTTTGCTTGAGCATCTCCGTTACAAGACGAACGAATGCCCGTGGCAACTCTCGAAGAAACAAGGAAGCAGTAGAATCACTGCTTTTGAGCGGCGCGTGGAAGCAGTGAGCATACAAAGCTTGGAGTACGGTTAGAAGCTTAGGCTCTCTTGTCAGCACAGTGACCAACCCCCGATAATTGGTGGCCTCGGCCAGGCGTAGTGT